CGTTGTGGGCAGAGCACAGATATCCCATTATGTAGCTTTGTGCTTAACTTCAAACAAATAAACAAACACCGGTAATGGACGGTGTAAAAGGAATTCAGGAAGATTAAACACAAAATTAGAATTTTTCGAATAATTAAAATAATCCGTTTAGCCCCCCTCCCAGTGTCTCAGCGGCAAGTCTGAACACACAAACAAACAAAAAATAATCCGTTTAATTTGTCGGTCATTTGGCACCCTCCTAGTGAAGAATCAACGAACTTAAATGCATTTATTTTATTAAACAAAATAAAGGTTTGATAATATAATTGCATAATTTCAAAATTAAACATTTCCTGGTCATATTTTGAGAAATATTATTATTATATATATGACTAAGTATTTTACATCTGACATGTGAGAAATCCACTGTCCACAACAACAAAAAAAAAAAACGTCGTTACAGTTTTAATACGCCTTTTACTACAGGGTATTCCAATTGTTGATTGGCATTGTAATATTAATTTCAATATTTTTTTATTTTTATATTGAAAATATTGTTAGATAATGGCGTTGAATAGTTTTGATGGTATCCGGATGAATGAATGTCCTTAATACTGTAACAACTTTGTGGACAGACATCTTGAGCATATTCTGCAAACGTGTAAACACATTCAGCCTATTAAAACCAAATATATATTCGTTCATATGTGTTATGCAACTCGTAAATACACTATAGTTAAATAAATAGGTAAAAATAGAGCTACAACCTAGTTACAAAAGAACAGAAAATATCGTGACGTTTCGCAACGTGAATGAGATGTCACCAGATAGCTCTTTAATACGAATTATAAAGTTTTTAATTTGTCTGAAATTATTGCCAGCGAACATTGTCATGTGGTATTTATTGGAATTTATAAAAAACAAATCTATGTACCATTTTTACTGTCATATAATTTTTGTTTAAAATATTGGTTGTATGTCACTCTTGTAAATATATGCTATTTATAAATAGCGGATTTTTGATAGATCATATAATTATATTAGTTGACCTTAAGCGCCCCAGTGGCACAGCGGTATGTCTGTGGACTTATAACGCTTAGAAATCGGGTTTCGATACCCGTGGTGGGCAGAGCATAAATAGCCCATTGCGTAGCTTTGTGCTTAACTTCAAACAAAACTTGCCCTTGAGTCGTTTCAGTTATTTTGCAGTATTTTTTTTTATTCTCGGGTTCGAATCCCCGTCCCACCAAAAAAAAAAAAAAAAAAACATGCTCGCCCTTTCAGCCGTGGGGGCGTTATAATGTGACGGTCAATCCCAATATTCGTTGGTAAAAGGGTAGCCCAATAGTTGGCGGTGGGTGGTGATGACTAGCTGCCTTCCCTCTAGTCTTACACTGCTAAATTAGAGACGGCTAGCGCAGATAGCCCTAGTGTAGCTTTGCGCGAAATTAAAAAAAACAACAAAAAACAATGAACGTTATTAGAAGATCAAATGCCCCCCCCCCCTCTCAGTGATTCATGCTAAAAACTGAGTTTGGATGCCTGCGATGGGCACAGCGCAGATAACCCACCGTGTAGCAAACAGAAGATCAACAAGAGAAAGTGATGTTGCCCCAAGAATTTAGAAATGTTCATTATAAACGTTTACTAGACTTTAAAAATATCAAATTTTCTAATATATAATGGTTCTTGAATAAAAATACTAAAATATAATAATGATAATAAAACGTTTATCGCTTTAAAGTTGCTAACCAAATGGGTGAGGATGTTAAAACAGTTAATCTGATTCATCTTGATTTATTCGTCCTTATCTATGAGAAATCTTGTGGAAAGCTCTAAAAGATGAGGAAATCTTGGAGTATTTAGGCGGATATGATTTATTTGTTACATTATATTAAAAAGCATAACATCATACAATGTGTAACAAATAAACCTAAAATAAGCCTAAAAACTCCAAGTATATGTATAACACCAACAGGTGTGCAGACTTGACAGCAAGTAATTTAGGCCGTTCGAGTTTTAATCAAACAGTACTTTTGGGTCACAACTCACTGGTTTGTCTTTATTCTGAGACACTTTTCGTCACAACTCACTAGTTTTGTTTCAGATTTAAATCATTTTTGTATCAAATCACTAGTTTTTACCTTAGATTCATTTATAGTCGTTGTCAGTTGATTTGTTTAGCTATAGATTATTGATCTTTGATTGTAAATGGCTAGTTTTTTGTGTAACTTCAGTCGGAAATAACTGGTTTCTCTTTGGCATGACAAAACTTGCTCGTAAGCGATGTATTTGACTTTCGACTTTAGGCGACTTCTGTCACATGTCACTGATTTAGGTTGAGATTCATAAAAATTCATTCTCGAACTACTTGTTAGGCTTTAGATTCACGCAAATTATGTCACAAAATACTAAATTTAAAGTATCAAATATATTCTAGTATTTTACTTTCTATTAATTCAGTTACACTGTCGCCCCCTAGTGGCACAGCGGTATGTCTGCGGACTTACAACGCTAGAAACCGGGTTTCGATACCCGTGGTGGGCAGAGCATAAATAGCCCATTGCGTAGCTTTGTGCATAACTTCAAACAAACTATTACACTGTCACAGAACGATACAACGATCTTATGCCTAACCGGTTGTGCCACTTACGATGACAAAACACTAGGGGGTTAGTTAACAATATTATTGCTTTATTACGTCATAGCTTATGATACCAAGATTATTTAGTTTTATACTAGTTTTATCATTGGGGGTTGGGGAGATTTACCATCACTTTGTACGTGTGAAAGATCATTTGGAGAAAGGCTTATTGTTTCATTAAGAAACAAGTTGTTTTATTTTACTTATTCCTTTATTATTATTCTTAGTTTATTGTGACTTTAAAATTTCGAATTTCAATCAACTTCCGGTGAAATAACCACGATCTCTAAGCTCAGGGAAGTCGTTATACTTAAACAAATAAACAGAAGGCTTAGAAAAATGCATTTCCATGTAGAATCCATGGATGCGACATTATCTATTATCAAAGACGTTTTTATGTGTAACATATAATTAATTACCTATATTAACGAACACAATATTGCTAATTGCACAAATATGTATCTCCTTTTTTTTTTTTTTTTTACTTTCCTTGTTCTGTGTATTATACTGGCACTCCATTCATTCGTGCGAACTGACGTCACAAGCACATGCTGTTTTCTTATTGGTTGATAAATATATTGAGTGTACATCACGAGCTCGAAGAATACAGCTGTAAGGTGTAAAGAAAGCAGCGACATCTACCACGTGGGCAAATATTAACTTATATTTTGCATTATTACGTAAGTACATGCTCTCGTTTGACAGTTCTAAAACACGAAGAACCTACTATCTTTAATTTCGAGAATACACAAGAATACATAATATTACCTTCTTAGTTAAATATTTTCAAAGGCTGTTTCTATTACGCAGATATACTTCAGTGGTATAACCTTTTGTAATTTCATTCTCGATTTAGTAACAAAGGCGATTAAAAAATACAAATTATAATCTCTAAGTTTGAATCATAAGATACTTTTTAAAAGTCGATGTGTGAGGCTTTCAGAGTGTATGGCATAAACGAATAAATCAAATAACCATAAATGATTATGGTTTCTGGACATTGTTCGCTCCATATCATTATTGCGTTCTGTAGGTTATCTAGTTGCCTGATGTGGTTTGGACGAACGGACGCCTGCATACCAATCAGCTTTCAGTGGGCTGACCTTTGGTCTACGTGGCACTCGTGACCACTCCCCTGCGGGCATGACGCGACCGGGCAGGCGCGGCAACATAAGAGTGTGGACAAGCAGACAGTAATATTCCCCTTCAAAACAGTAAAAGCAAGATCTCAGCGCGCACTTCGAGCTGCTGATAAGTGTATGGGTTCAGAGTGAGGAATTTTTGCGAGTGCTGAATTTAATAGCCCAGAAACAGTCACACGATCAGAGGTCGCTATAACTGTGGATAAGAAGTGAGGAGCTGTGTTTTATTTTTTCATTACAGCTAACGAGTGAATTCTGTGTAAAGTCCATGAAGCAAGCTTTCATTGTGCTATCAAGTGGACATAAGAAAGCGGTTCTCAATAATACGTTAAACAGTCTGGAACTTCTGATAGACAACTTTCTAAAATCTTTGTTTGTTTTTTCTACTAATAATTTTTAACAACATCGACGCATCTTTAAAATCTCGTGGTCATCCTGCTGTAAGGTGGACGTCAAAACATCTTTTCTATGTGAATGAATAGAACAGGATTTCTTACACTGGCTATCCAGTTGAAACGTGTCGTTTTAGGTTAATGAAAATTGTACCCCCAAAAATCCTGAAAGTTGAACTGATTATTTTTCTTTCGTTCTTTTTTCGTCTAAAATAGTGCAGGTTAACACGTAATTAATTGTGCGACTCTTTACTATTAACTCACCACAACGTTACTTTTGTGGAGAGACATTTAAAACTCCATAAATATGTCTGTATAAATGTGCGTGTCTTTGAATATGCATATAATTATGTAATATCTTTTTTTCACGCTTCAACTATAAAGAGTGCAGTATTAGAGATTGGATTTTTTTTTTCGGATCTTGTACCTCACCATAACACCTTG